CACACATTTTCTTTATGGATTTGTTTTATTGATTTAAATTTCATAATAATAAATAATCTAATAAGGGCCCTCGTAAAGTTGTTCTAAGGGTGTCGGAACGCGATCGATGCGTAGGAATACATACTTGCTCTCTGACAGCTCGCTGGGTACTAAGACTGGTTGTTGACCGTGTCGCAGTCCAGGTTGAGTTCGTACATTACCTAAGTTTCTGCACAGTAACTTTACGAAGTCTGTTTCGCTTGGTTTGATTTTGACTTCTGTCAGCAACTGTACCGGGACTCTGAGAGGGTTGCCGTACTACAACAACAATGGGCTTGGCTGCTTCAGTTGACACTGTGTCTTGAAGTCCACTTAAAGCATGCTACCGAATATCATCAATTTTTTGCTGAAATAAAATATGCCGAGCAATGACTCGTGAAGCGTGATGACATTTTAAATAGCAAATATTCTCAATCGGATTTTGGTCTTGATCAAGGTGAAGCTTTATTACGTGGTATGCAGGATTTACGTGAAGAATTGAATGCTTTTAGTGAAACTGTTGCTAATTTGACCCATCGGGCTCAAACAATTGTTCCAATATATAAAAGACGACAACCGGTAAATAATCAATGCTCTGTACAAGCAATATGTGCTTATAAGCAGCAAGGTCAACTACAAATTGAAAAGGGAGAAACTTGTATCTTGCTCGATAACTCTAGTTGAGTTAAATGGAGAATTCGTAATTCAATAGGACAAGAGGGTTCAATTCCTAGTGCTTGCTTATTAATGCCTCCTCCTGACCAAGAGGCAATTGATGCTGCTGAACGACTTAAACGGTTATTCGATCGTTTTGTGAGCTTATGGCAAAAAAAACATTTACGTCTACGTCAAAATATGATTTTTGCTACAATTCGTGTTGTCAAAGGATGGGACTTTGACCAATTTCTTGCAATGGGTCCAGAACAGCGTACAGCGATACGGCATGCACTCAATGATGACGCAGATAAACTTTTAAGTGAGGGTGATCCAAATGATCCACAATTAAGACGTTTACGCCGTGAAATGGATGAAGTAAATCGTTTATTTGACGAATTTGAAAAACGCGCTAGAGCTGAAGGTAAATTAATTTAATTAAATTAGTTTATTTTTATTTTTTTCGTAGGCGGGGTATATTCACCAATTATAAAAACATTTTATCAAATAACTGTCATACGAACTTAATTTCAATTAAATTTAAGTGTAAATTTTTTACTTGATGTTAGATTGAATACATAAATTTGTTTAGTACGAAAATAGTATTCTCTTCAATAGTGTCTTATTAAAACTATTTCTGTATCGTTTGTGATGAAGAAATTATTTGCCAGCCGTAGAACTCGTGGTACTAAATAAATAATTTTAGCTTAAATTTAATTTTACAGATTTAAAACGTATTCAAATATTTTATTATACTTTTTAGAGGAAAGCAAACAAGTTAGCCGAATCTTCACAGAAGAATGCATTGCAATCAAAGGAAAACTTGAGGACATATTAATCTCAATTCTCGCTTTGGAAATTTACTTTGCTTCATTTCAAGAAGCGCCAAACGAAAATGGATGTGTGTATGCGAGAGTTGTCTGACTACGAGAGAAGGAACAGAGAAAGAGAAAGGGCGAAAAACAATATATTCGCTAATAAATTAATTTATAAAAAATTTGTAATTTATATTACAAATTTTTTTTTAAACAATTATAATAAACTAAATATATATAAGCTTATAATATATATTTGCCCCTTAACAAATATATAACAAAAAATATTTTATGCAAATAAATTTTGCGCGGCAGTTTTTTGCACTTGTCATTTTACTCTTATTCGTATGTGAATTTGATCAAAAATCACTTGCTCTGCTCTCTCACTGCAAGCAAACGGTTCAGTTTCTGTTATTCCTTCTTTCTCTATTTAACAACTTTTTTATATAGTTTTTCGATTTTCGTTTTTGCTGTTGTTTGTTTGCACAGAATAGAACATAAATATTTTAGGCGGCCACCGTCTTGGAAGTCAAGTTATTTGTTTTTGAGGCCGTGCACTACACACTACACACATATGGTGTGTTTGTTAGTTTGTTTAATTTGTTGTGCAAGCGATGTTTGCAAATTTTCTTTTTATCTTCCCTTTCTGTTAGCAGAAGTAGCCAATTTCCTCAAAGAATTACTATTTTGAATCTTAAATTATTATTTGTTAATTTCAGAGCTACCTCAAACAAAATAAATCAAAACTTATATGCTTTGTTAACTAAAAGCCTGCAGTAAATTATTGAAATCCAATGCATTTAAAAATGTACGCATGTACATGTAAATGAACTGCATGTAAAACAAAATTTTTGAACGTGCAGCCAAAAATTGCGACATCAGAAGCACATTAGCCTATACGATATCTAGATATACTATAAAATATTATTATATATTTACATAGCTTCCTTAGCAAAAAAAAAAAAAAATTGATTTTAGAATGACTTTAAAAACTTTATCTAAAGTACATACATATATATTTGATGCATGAATCAAACCTTTTTAGTGGTTCATTGAATTCTTTTTTTATAATAAAATTATTTGCGAATTAATTTAAGGATTAAGTTTGCAGAAAAAAAGATTTTTTTTTTCTTAATAAATTAATAATAGTAAATAATTACACAAATTTACCGGCTAAAAAATTCTTTTATGAGTTCATTTAATTTTTATTTCGACGAAATTCATCGGAATACTCTAGAAATTCATTTAAATCAGTGTCAAAAATGTCTTTAAAATAATTATTTTCTATATATGAAAGTTATTTTCTATGTAAATTGCTATAATTTTTAATTTTATTAAATTATTACATTAGTTTTGCTGATATAATTAATATATAATATATTTTTGAGTTAATTGAATTTTATTAAGTAAAAATTCATTTTCCTGCTTTGCGGGTTTTACTATTTACGTATATTAATAAACTGCAATTAAAAATGATTTAATTCATAAAATTGTAAAAAAATTTAAAAAAAATTATTTAAATAATTTAAATAATTTAAATAATTTAAATAATTTAAATAATTTATATTTATACATGTTATATAAAATTTAAATATTTAAAAAAACTAATAAGCCGAAAAATATATCAATTAAAGTGCATTTCCACAATCCACATTCATTGTGCAGTTTTATAAACTGTAAAACTTCTGCATAACATTTTATTTGTTATTCGAAAGAGAAGGAACGCATATAAATCATACAGTTACTATACTAAACAATTGGTGAGAAGAGCATTGTGGATTGTATTGCATACAAGTCTGCTAATACAATCCAAACAAACTGATTTATATACACGACTTCTCAGTGTTTCAGTTTTATTACGTTTACAGCGTTTGAACAATACGGTCGCGATCTGTAGTGTACGGAAAAATTTTCAGCGAAAATTGAAAATTGTGTGTGAATATTTAAAAATAAATAGTTAAAACATAAATAAATTTGAGTTTATTTAACAATAATTATTGTTTTTATATTCCAAAATAAAATTAAAATTTTGTGATTTTATTATATATAACAATTTGCCGCTAATAAAACTTGCAGCTGACAAACTCTTTTTTCGGTATGTTCAGTGTATAAAACTGCTAGAAACGTACAGAAAATAACAAAATTCATACAATTAAAGTTTGTTTCTATAACATTCGAACATTAAAAGTAATATTTGGAGTATAAATATACAAGTTTAATTTGTTTATTAATAAATAAAAATTAATATTAAAATTTTCATTTATATATTTTTCGAATGTGAGAATGCAAGTTAAACAGCAATTTTTTTTTTATTTTCTCATACATGCTTCTGCTGCATGTATGTACATATGTATGTACATATTCTTGCGCATATGTGCCAGTGAGACAAAAAAGTGACCATACAATTTGTGAAATTTGTTTAAAGGCATAAAGCCAAAAACATATGAAAAATAATATTGTTGTATTAAGAAAAAGCAAAAAATATAAAAAATAAAAGCAAGTAAAGGAGAAACAAGTAAACATCTGCTACAAATTTTGCCTGGTTGATTCCATGTCGTCATCGTCGTTAAAGTGTTTAACAAGACGTTTCGGTAAATTTTTAACTTTCCTAAGTTTATTAAAAACAGAATTTAAAAAAAATTTAATAAATAAGTAAATGCAAAAAATATTTAAAAGAAATAAACTCAAGTAAAATAGCTAAAGAAAGTTTGACGTCTTGTCTTTCGTTCGTACGTTCGATTATATATTGTCGGTTTTTCATATTGTTTTTTTATGAGGTTTTAACTGTTCCTCGCTTTTGTTGTCTTCTTCGTAAATCGTCAGCGCTATTACGTCTTCTTCGTCTCAACTTGAGTGAATTTTTGCTGAAGCTGCTGGCTGGAGCCAAATTACTTTCTGCAACTTTTAGATAAGGTACGCGTAATATAAAACAAAACTTAGTTTTGATTATTAAATATAATTTAATTTTTTGTCGTCGCTTTTAAATTTATTTTTTTTGTAGCTAATATTTTTAAATGTTTTTTTTTTGTTTTTTTTTGTCTTCTATAAATTTACTTTCCGAAACTTTACTTTTCCGTGATTTTTCTCTGTATGCATATGTATCATATATATGTGTGTTTCTACGTATGTATTTATCTTATACTGTAGAAAATATATTTTCTTGCTTAATTTTTATTCATTCTACTATTTGTTCTCTCATAAACATACACAAACATAATTTGATGGATTTCATCATAAATGCAATGTTGTCACATTTCTCAAAATACTTATATATGTGCAGAATGTTTAAAGAGCATATTACATTTAAAAAAAGTTTTTAGTTTTATTAAACCAAATCATTAACATCTATTAAAAGTTTCTTTTGTTTACATTTGCACACGTGCGTAAAAGCTTTAGTAATTATTTTTTT